CATGAGGAAAAAGAAAAATATTGTATGGTTTCACATATAGGGGAAATATAGGGAAACCAGGAAAAGGGTCAGAGAAAAAAAAAAGTCAAAGCTAGCAGGAAAATTATAGATCTGAGACTGAGCAGGGGTGGGAGAGGGAGCATTCGAAACAGGGGAGGGAAGAGCACAAGGGACTCTTGCGATGGTTCTCGGGTGAGGTGTGATGGGAGACTTATGGGAATTACAACTGAAAGGAAGAGAAATCAAATATTGTACAAAAAATGTATTGTACAAAAATGAACAATAATGTAAGAATTTTTTTTTAATTGTTAAGTACTTTGAGAGTACTTTGCCAAAAAGCATGCAATAGAGACTTGGGCTAATGTATTAATGGAGAGTCCATCAGATAGATGGATGAGAAGAACCTTCTAATCATATGTAAACCAAATAGGCAAAGATTTAGGGACCTGATGGTGTCCCAGGAAGGAGAATGATATATAGGGGTATAGGGAGGATTAGGGGTATTTGGTAAGAAGTTAGCCTGTTGAAGTAAACCTGAATCAGATCTGAAATGCTAACTAGCTTACGGAGTTTCATTTTATTTTATTTTATCAATAAAGATCTCCAGCTAAAGGCAGGATAGAAGAGAACCCTAATGTATGTAATGCTGAACTCATTTAATACTACAGTGCCATAAAACTAAGAATCAACTATAAGAAAAAAAAAAAGCAGGAACACCAATGAATACATGAAGACTAAAAACATGCTGCTTAATAGCAATTAGATAAAGAGAAAAATCAAAGCAGAGGTTAAAATGTACTTTGAGATGAATAAAAATAATGATACAAGGTACCAGAATCTACAGGACACAGCAAAAAAGTAATACAGGCCGGCATTAAAAGGCAAGAAAAATTCCAAATAAACAACTTAATATCACACTAAAATAACTTGAAATAGAGGAACAAACAAGACCCAAAGTTAGTAGAATGAAGGAAATTATAAAAATAAGGGCATGAATGAAAGAAATAGAAGTCAAAATGTCTATTCAGAAAAAAATTAGTGAAACTAAGAGCTGGTTCTTTGAGAAGATACAAAGTAGAAGATACAAAGTAGAAATACAAACCTCTAGCTAGGCCAACAACAACAGCTACATAAAAAGAGAAAACATTAATAAACAATAACATATGAAAGTGGAGAAAATATTTACAGAGTATATATATATAACTAATAAAGGATTAATATACAAGACATATTTTAAAAACTCACACACTTCAACAATATAAAATAAATAACCCAATTAATAAAGGGGCTGCAGATATAGACAATTCTCCAGAAGGCCAAATGACCTGTGAAAAAATATTTATTGCCACTTCTGATAAGATAGATACAAATTGAAACTATGAGATACCATCTCACACCTGTGATTAGACACACATTGAAAAGACCCCCCAACAGCAAGTATTGGAGAGGATGTTGAGAAAAATGAAACCTCTTCCCTTGTTGGTAGGAATGTGAACTGTTGCAACCGTTACAAAAAGCAATCTGAATTTACCTTAAAAAACAAAAAATGGAAATACTGTGTCAACCAACCAGCAATTCCACTCAAGCATACAGCTATAAAATATGAAACCATAAACAACAAACCCCGTATGTTCCACAAAGTTCATAGCTACATTATTTATAATAATGAGGACATGGAAACATCCTACATGTCTATCAAGAAAATGTGGTCTATACACATATCAAGAAAATGTGGTCTATACACATGATTGAGCATTGTATAGACATAAGAAAGGATGAAAAGATCCAGTCATCTATTTTTGGGCATTTGGGTTGTTTCCAAAGCTTAGCTATTGTAAATAGTGCTGCTATAAACATGGGGTGCAAGTGCCCTTTGGAATTAATGTTTCTGTGTCCTTTGGGTAAATACCTAGGAGTGGAATTGCTGGATCATATGGAAGCTCTATGTTTAGTAGGTTGAGGAATAGATGAGTGGCTCAAGAAGATGTGGTACATATACACAATGGAATATTACTCAGCAATCAAAAAAGATAAACTCATGCAATTTGCAGCAACAAGGATGGAGCTGGAAGGGATCATGCTCAGCGAAATAAGCCAGAAAGAAAAAGAAAAATACTGGATGGTCTCACTCATAGCAGGAATTTAGAAAACTTAAATAAGGGACCAGAAAAAAGACTAATTATAATAAAGTAAAATTCAAAATCAACAAGCAACTATAAACCAGAGACACACTACCAGGGGTGGGGTGGGGAGGAGTGATTAGGGATTAGGGTCAAAATAAGGGGGGTGAAGCTGTATGGGGAATATAACCAAAATGAAAATGCATGCATTGTGCAAAAATGAAAAATGATGTAAGAATTACATAAAATAAAATATATTAATAAAAAAAAGAAAGGATGAAATGAAGCCTTTTTTTTAAGATTTATTTATTTATGCATACAAGAGCTGGGGTACAGGCCAGAGATGCAGGGGGTGAGAGGATCTACCAGAGACAGAGTGGGCAACGGAACAGGCAGAATGACTGAAACACACTGCTGAGGGGAGCAGCGGGCGAGACAGGAGAGGTCTGCTGCGCCTTGTGGGTTGCTCCCTGGCTGGATTGCTTCATGGTGTGGTGCTTAACCCCTTGCTCCACAAGGGAGGCCCGAAATGCAGCCATTTTCAACAAAATTGAGAGAATTGTATGCAGAAAAGTCAAAATTATTAAAACAAGTACTGAATATATACATAGTAGATAATTCAATAATGTAAGACACTAAAAAACCAGAGGACATCAGTGAACATTCTGAAGGCTCTGAGGTTAAGAGGGAGAAGGAAGGGGAAAGGAAAAGGGATGGTGGTGAGGGAAAAATAAATAAATAGGGCCTCCCCAGTGGCGCAGTGGTTGAGCACTGGGTTGCGAAGCTGCCCGCAGCCTCTGCAGCGCCGGTTCGATCCCCGGCTGCTACCCGGCCACCGGAGGAGGGTCCCACAGGGCGCGCAGACCTCTCCTGCCGCCCGCTGCTCCCCTCAGCAGTGTACTTCGGTCCTTCTGCCTGTTCTGCTCCCCGCTCTGGCTCTGGTGAATTCTCTCACCCTCCCGCGCTTCTGACTGTACTCAGTGCTTGTATAAATAAATAAATAAATCTTAAAAAAAAAAATTAAAAAAAAGAAAAATAAATAAAAATAAAATACTTCTTTCTTTTCCAAAATACCAATCCTTGAGAGGCTCATTTTTTCATATAATTTGACTAAAACAATACCTGGCTCTACATAGATGCAAAAGCATAGATGAGAACTCAGCTACCTTTTGTTAAACCAGGAATTGCAAGAGAATTGGGAAAAAAATGTAAGTAAAGCCATACTTTTCAGAATATATATTCTTTGGGGAAAAAGTACTGCTTTTCACAAAATATTTATATTAACATAATGGATTTGTTATTCATTTTATTAAGTAGCTTTAAATAATTTGTCAAATTTAATTTCTAACATGAGATGATATGTGTCAGTAAAAATACTGTTTTCAGAATCTACAAGCAGCTATAAACCAGAGACACAGTAGAGGGGGGGAGGAGGGATTAGGGTCAAAATAAAGGAGGTGGGAATTTTATGGGGACTATAAGCAAGATGAAAATGCATACATTGTGCAAAAATGAAAAATGATGTAAAAAATACATAAAATAAAATACTTCTTCCCATTAAAATCCCTTTGAGGGCCTCCTGGTGGCCTAGGGGTTAAGTCTTAGGACTATCACTGCCACGGCCTGAGTTTGATCCCCATCTCGGGAGCTAACCTATGTATAGCGCAAGAGACCTCTCCTGTCTGCAGGCTGCTCCCCTCAGCAGTGTATTTCAATAGATCTGTCTGTTCTGCTCCCCACTCTGTCTCTGGTGAATCCTCTCACCTCCCTTACCACTGGCCTATACCCTAGCTCTTCTATGCAAACAAACAAATAAATAAATCTTTAAATAATAATAATAGTAATAAAAAAAAGTCCCTTTGGTCATGAACATACCGTAAACATGCAAAGGGTTTCTGAGACCAAGAAGTTTTCACACCACTAGCATTGCATATTACTAAGAATATTTTTAGATGCAAGATACAAACTCAGTTTGAAGGCCATATGCCAAAGATGTGTCTCTTCATTTCTTGGTCTTTCTCCCCTGAGTGCTGGCTTACTACTCGGTGGATTGTCCCCAGATAAGGGGACGATGACCATCAATAGCTCCAGGTTTACTTCCTTATTAGCTTAAAAGCAACACTTTTCCCAAGTTCCTGCAAAAGCTGTGATATAGACTTTCTTCAGGCTGGCTTACATCATACTGTATCCCTTAGACATCACCACAGCTCTGCTTGACTAGGTTGCCTATGGTCCATCCCTGGAATGGAGACTTGTGTTCAGTCAGTCAAAGAGTAGGAAGGGCAGCTCATCTGAGGACCCTAAGAATGTTTTCCCATGGGAGGGAAAAGAGGCATCAAACTGATTTGAAAAGTGCTATTTTTACATCAATAGTGTATACAAGTACATTTTTATACTTTAAATCATTTATTCATAATCTTTTAAGCACACATCTGAACATCTAGGTTATAAACTTGAACATAGCATTGTTTGACTGTTTGACCCACAAATTATTTTCTGTCCCCAAAATGTCCAAAAGAAATTAAGAAATTACTTATAACTTCAACTGTCTTCAAGAGAAGTCTCTGTGGTTCTTTATTTTTATGACTTATATACCTTCAAAGAGTGTCTTTCGTGTCTTTAGGGTTGTAATGGTCATTCTAAACTAAATGGAGCTTGTTCAGACACTTAAGACCTTGGGCCAATAAATCAATGACTTCATACTATTTCATCTTCTTTTCACTTCTATGGATTACTAAATAGCAATAACGATAATTCTAACCAATTCCTAATACTCCCTTTTACAGCCAGGGGAAGGTCAGCTATTTTTTGATTCCCATGGGGGAGCGAGAGCAAGCTTCTCAATAAGTATCTTAAAATAGCTGGCCATTCTCAGCTGCTGGGCTGGAGTCCAGACAGGGGAGAGCAAAGGGAAAACAAATCCACCAGCTGGTGTGGATGAGAAGCTACCAAAACATGAGCGAGAACAGGCTTCTCAAGAAGATTCTGTCTACTCAAAAATCTTTATTCTTTTTTTTTTTTAGTTGAGAAGCTAGGTGTCTGCCATTTCTAATTATTTTATTTAAAGGGAAACAAGTGAATCGAAAATGAGACTAAATATTGCCATCTTTTTTGGGGCTCTCTTTGGTGCTTTGGGAGTTTTTCTCTTTTTGGTGGCTTTTGGATCAGATTATTGGCTTCTTGCAACTGAAGTGGGGAGGTGTTCAGGTGAACAGAATGTGCGTTTCTTCTTCAAAATATTGATGTACTTGGAAGTGAGGAGGATAGCCTTACATATCTTCTTGAAATCAGAGAATAGTAGTGGAGTGTCTATTTCTTCATAGAAGAGATGTAGAAATCTACCAATCATTATTTCTTGAATAAAATACAGTATTTGAAATTTTCCTGGATGGAATTGTTTTAGATTATGTTCCTTGTGTTGATAGCAAATTGCTTCATTTGTGTTTTGTGCAGATAGAGAACATCACTTTCCATCATGAAGGATTCTTCTGGAGATGTTGGTTTAATGGGATTGTGGAAGAAAATGATCCTGATATCTGGAAGTTCTGGTATAGTAAGTAAAATTTAGTTTTATTTTCCCCATGTCTTTAAAATAAAAATGAATGGCTTCTAATGTAGTTCATGTTACTTAAAGAGTAGAATTGTATTCTTAATTGTAGAATCTCAATAGATTATCTTCAAAGTTCATGATGTGATTCTTTTTTAGTAAAGAAAAATAATTTTATTTTGTAACATAAAATAAGAGTCAATATTTATGGTAAAAGTGAATTATCTACTATTTTTGCATATATTTAAAGTACCCTAACCTTAATAAGACAAATGCTATCTATAATTTTTTTTTCAAGTGTCTATTATTGCTGTAATCAATAAATGTATTTTTTTTGGTACAAACCCTTGAAATATCAAATTTAAAAATCTGGAAATAGGGATGTGTTACTTTATATTCATGACTTCAAAGCTAAGAACAATCTTTTTTATAATGAAACTTAATTACCAGCAGCAGTAGATGAAAGCTTCCTCTATTTGGGCTTTAACCAAGGCTGTGAGCAATCTCAAGAAATGCCTTGCTTTTGATGTTTGCATTCTCGCATAGAAACTTTAAAGTTCCTTTTTGAAGTAGAATAGCTTCTTAAAAATATGAGGTATTCTTTTAACTGTATTTCCTAGATTGTATTAATCTTTGAAAATCAATTCATTGAAAATAACTAGCCTTTATCTTATTGTGTCCAGCCCACAATTACCTACAGCTTATTGTGTGTTGAAATTATTAGTCTCCTTATCAAATATTTCTGCGATAAATCAAAGTATTGTATTTATACAATAGTTAAGTTTATGGAATATATAATAAAAATATGAACTTACTGAAGACCTAAGCAAGCTGATGGCAAGGTGAGATATATAAAAGTAATAAAGTAATGATGAGATGGTATTTTGAGAGGGATACTTGATAAACTATTTTATAGTCCTTTGGGGAGGAGAAGAAACTAGCAATTTGCTGTGAAATTATTTAAACTTTGCAAGTGGAGTAAGTCAGTTGGCAAGAGGAAAATTTTGACAAGGACATAGAGAAAGGAAGAATATTCTACTCCTTTTTAAAGAGCAGAGAGCAAAAACTTCACATTTTCAAACAACATACAGTGTTGCTTTTTCAAATGCTAAAAATGCATTTGAATTAACATATGTGATCTAGCATTTGTATCTTTCTCCTAAAAATAGAATGAAGGAAAAAAAAGTCATACTAATTGGAACTAATCAAGGTTAAATCTAAGTTTATTAGATTTTTAAAATAATTTTTTGTGTACCTGTTATGTGCCAGCAATTATGTTAGGAACTGGAGAATGTGATTGTGAACATAAATTAAATACGGTGTATTCAATTTTGAGAGGATATTAGGGCATTTTCTCTTTTGAAATATACTTTCGCTAGAGATTTTGAATAAATCCACTTTCTAGGTCTCCTCTGCTTATTCACATAATTTTTTTAGGAGTTTGTATCTTACTAGTCAAGAAATCTCTGAGTTAAATTGAACCTGCAATTTTATTTTCCTTGTGTACTCTCAGAGACTGTTCTTCTCTTCTTTCAGGAATGACTCTTCATGCAGCTTTTCAATAACAAATAACATTATTTTTCTTCCTAGCCAACCAACCATCATCAAAGAACTGCACCCATGCTTACCTGTCTCCATATCCCTTCCTGAGAGGCGAACACAATTCTACTTCTTATGACTCTGCAGTTAGTAAGTACTTCTGTCCTAAGAATCGTTCTAAGAAGGACTTGTCTTTCTAAAATTTATGTGGGCAATTAAAAAACAATTTCAACATTTTATCTGGTATCAATCTATTGTATATAAAATAATAATATTGCTATTTTAAAAGGTAATTTTTGAAAAGTGTTTTGTCATTTGAAATCAGAGATGTTCATTAGGATTTAATGACCTAAAACTTGTTAAGGATTTAAATGACCTAAAACTAACCTTACACATTGAAAATATTTTATAATATAGCCTGCTTTTAAAATTTTTACTTGTAATTCTTACATACAAGAATATAATTTTACTATTGTATCCTACTAAATGACTGAACTTTGTTGTGTGTGATATCCCATGGAAGAAGGAGAGATGTCTTTAACTAGGAGTTGAGATTATCTACTTCTTTTGTGTTTTCATGTTATTTGTTCTGTTGAACGTGCATAAACTAGTTTCTATACAAAGTACATAATACAGAGTACATAAATATATTTTTATAGGAAATACATAAATTTAATATGTCAACTTTATTTTCAGCTGATTTCATGAAGATTTTAATAAAGGGTATTTATCCTAACCTTAAAACTATGGATTAGTATAGAATTTCCCAGTGGTATAAACAGAGCTCTCAAATTTTATTTTTCAAAGAGAAGAGCTAATCTACTTAATGCTCTAAATAAATTTATATTAGGATGAGAGAAAGGAGTAGAGGAGGATAGAAAGAGAGAGTTTGAAATTGAAGGAGAGATTTGAAGGCATTGATTTGTGATTGTGGAGTCTGGCAAGTCTGAAATCTGTTAGCCTGAAGGCAGGAGATTCAGATAAGAACTGATACAGTCTTGAGTCTGAAGTGTGAAAATTCTGGTAGGATTTCCATGTTGCAGTCTCTGGAAGAGTCCCTTCTTTAGGAAATCTCAATTGTTTCTCTTCAGCTGATTGGATGAGGTCCACTTCCCATTATCTACTCTAACTATAGTCTATTGATTGTAAATGCTAATCACATCTAAATAATACATTTACAGCAATATCTACACTAGTCTTTGACCAAAAGCTTGGCACTATAGACTACTAAGTTGACACATAAAATTAACCATCACTTTACATCATTTGTCCATTTTTGGACATGAAGTTTACATCATTTGTCCATTTTTCATCTTTCTGTAAATATACATTTTTATATATTATGGCTTCATTTTGAATTTGTCAAAGGATATAGCATTTTCTTATATCATATCATTAGCATGACATTTAGAGCCAGCGTGAGGTCTGCTATGGAAGGAGGTGCACTGGCGTGCAGCTGTGCTTGTTCACCAGGATGCTGTGGTCTGTCATCTTTGAAATGTGTGTACAGTGGATGCCTGGTCCCATTGAACACTGCATGAGCATCTTATTTACATCTCTTCTCATGAGAGAAGAAATTGCATGCAAAGAATGGGATCATTTTATATTACAAAAAAATTGCAAAAAGCATGTCCCTTCCCTGTCATTCTTACTTTATAAAATGAATTAAGAAATAGTACAGGTTGACTTTTCAGAACATTAAGTTTCATGAAGGGCTGCAGATGTTTTAGTATTGTGGTTATTATTCCTATGTGGAGGTCCTGTGATGAGAAGGTATGTAAGCACCATATATTTTTAAATAAACCTACATATTTGAAAATCTGTAGCACAAGGAGATAATGGTGAACTTAAAAAAACAAGGTAGTATAATCTATGCATAATAATTATGATGGAGGTGGATAGTAAATGCATGTCAGAAAAATTATACTGCAATTACAGTTAGAATTATTATGTAGCACTGCATATAATTACTGTGTCATTTTTTTGGATCTAGTGACAAAACCTTATTCCAGTTTTTTTTTTTAATTATCAAAACTCCTCTTTGGCACACCTATTGTAACTCTTTACTGACTTTAAGCAACTTTATCAAACACTTTGAGTAAAAATGACTGAGAGGCAAAGAAGCATGTCCCACAACAGAAGTAGTATATACAAGTCTCATTTATCTTCATAATAATGTACAACAATACCTGATATTACATTTGAATGGAATTTTTTTTTATTTCCTTATCTGAGAGAAAAGCATGGATATCATCCAAAGGACTCTACTTGGCTAAAATTTGTGTTTCCTAGTTAATGAGACCACATAATCTTCACTAGACTCCAGAACCACTATTTGACTTCATAATTATCAGGCATTATAAATTTACCAAACTTGTCAAATTGAAAGTATGGTCTGTAAAATCTGATGTATTTTGACCTGTCAAATTATTACTAAAATTACTTAGTATTCGTGAGTTTTTATAGTTAACATTAGCCAATGTATAAATCAGTGAAAATGATGCAGTGGTATATGATTTTTCTGGAAAGACTATTTTAGAATCATTGTATTCTGCTGATGAAATTGTTCTTTTCATAGTAAGGGGATTGAGATGTCACAGGAAGCCATTTGGCTGTTTTCACACTGCAGAGTGGATACAAAGGTGCAGCTCTTTGGATTTTGTTTATTGATAATCTTATAAACAACAATGCACAAAAAGGCTAATTTTAGTGCCCACTATCATATCTTTTTAACTATAAGTCTTCTTAGTTATATTTCAACAACAATAATAAACCAAAAAATAACCAATAATAAACCAGGTTAAATTTATGTTGGTTTTTCTACCTTTCTATTGATATCTGATCTTGTCCTATTTGCAGTCAGATCTAATATGACATTTTGTTTCATTTTTAAAACCCTTAATACATATTTGAAATTCAGTGATACTCAAGTCTAGTTACTTAATATGGTCCCCAATCTAGAGAGGGTGGTCTCGTTCTTAGAATTTTTTTGGAGGTAGACTTGATAGTTCAAAGTTCATTAAACATTTCTATTATCCTTTGAGTTCTGTCGGAATTTAGATGTTGTATTTAATTCATGCTTGAATTCAGTCACAGTTCATTCCTTTAGTATCAAACCCCTTAGTGATTAATCATGTCTTGGTTGGTGTCCATAGCCTTTTGATCCTATCCTACCTCCATTAAAGTGTTTATTACACTTTATTGTATTATTTGTTGCCTCCTTTCCCCTTTTATTTACTGGAACTCATTAAAGCCACATAATGTAAGTGACTCATATATATAACCTAAGATTCTTCTGCTAGGGTTAAAATCTGAGCTGTAAATGATCAAATTAAAGAACGGTTTTATAGAAAAGAGCCTGGTGTCATCAGTGATTTCACCTTTCATCTGTGAGTTGGAACAAACATGCACACATAAGCTCGCCACTTCAGAATCAGTATTTGTCCTCTGTCTCAGGGTCTTCATATGCACCACCCTCCCCGCCAAATGTTGTGCCTCTCTTCCCAACCTCTCCTATCCATTCTCTAAGAAAGCAGGCTTATTCTCTGAGCTACTCCAAACTTTAGTTTTCTAAGGTAGTCTCCCGTGGCTGTCCTGTTCTCCACTGTCAGTGGACCAGACCAAAGTCTGCTTTATAAAACCCATTCTTTAATTTTATCATTCATGGCACAGTATTCATGTATTTACTTGTGTAATTCTTTTTGGCATGTGCTTTTACCCAATTCAATTCCAAATCCCATGAAAGTGGAGGTTTATATATTTGGCTATCGTTGGATCCACGGTAGACTGAATAATACATTAATAATTTTGAGAGTCTCTGTACTCTATATACTATACTATGTGTACTATATTGTATTCTGTGATGTTGTAAGTACCTACCGATATGTGTAAGGATTTTTAAAACCTTTGCTAAATGTATCTAGATTACTCTTAAATTTTGTGAAAACTTTTTGTAATTTTCAGGTCTTTAACATTGTTATCATATTTAGATGTGTTTTGCTTTTATTGTCAGCATTCATTTATTTAGTATTTTGTCCGGGTCTTTCCTTCATCCTGAAGTGAAGATACAAGGATAGAAGCAGGAAAGAGTCAGCTAGGTAAGATATTAGTTAGCAATGCAGTAGGCTCTAAGAAAAAGAAAATAAACAGTAGCTTAAAAAAAAATTAGAAATATTTTTCACCCACGACAAGATGTTCGAGTGCAGCTGCCATAATGATGCTGTTGGAAGGGATTTTTCAGCCTTTTTCCCCACCATCCTTTGGTAATGGTTAGCCAGCACCTTCGTATTCTTTCACCTTCTGAAGAGAGCCCCTGGAATTCTGTCGTTTATGAATAACAGTTCTCTAGCCTTCAGAATTGTGTTACATGGCTTCTGCTGGCTGGGTCATGGACTTGTTACCTTTCTAGTCACTGGAGTAGCAGAGAAGGAGGCAGAACTAGGAGTGAATGTTGAGAGGATCAACCTAAACTATCCTCACCAGCAACTAGCTTCATGATCCTGTCTGAATGTCAGCAGGGCTTAAACAATGGCAGAAAAGCAAAGATGAGAAGGGAATAATAGAAATATCCAAAGAGTTGATGTGTAAAATTTGGCAGTCAAGTAAACAAATAAAAAGCTAGAGAAATCTAGGGAGATGAAAAAATTTCCTTTTGAAGAAGGTGTCATTCAGTTTAAACAATTGACAATAAACAGTAATATTGTTAGTTCCCTTCAGTTTTTAGTGTATTTCTCTCCAGTCCCTTCTATATGAGTATTGTACATGTTTTTAATCATTATAAATACTCATGTATGTTTCACCTTTATCATGCATTTCTCTGTGTTTTTATCTAAGAGCTTCTCAAATTTTAAATATGCAACTTTCTACTTCCACTTTAAACATTTTATATGTGTAATTTTTTCATAATTTATCTCCTTTAGATTATATTTTAGAATGTAAATGGTGAATCAAAAGATAGGAGTTCGTTTTCTTAGTTACTGTTATTGTGCCATAGCATCAAATCACTTGCCACCCAATATTGAACTGTGAATGATTTCAGCGAAGGAAATTTGATAAGGAGGACAGAAATATGAGAATCAAGAGGAGGAGACAGGTTTTGAAGTGGAGGATGGGGATTTCATTTGGATTTAGACATATTATATGTGCATTGA